CAAGCAATCGATAAAATCACATCAAAACCAATCGATACCCACTTCTTAGCTAGAGTAATTACCTATTTTTATATACTTAAATCTCTCAACAAGCTATTCATGTCTTATATCAAGAAAGTCTATAAAGAACAATTTTATCCTGAAGCAGAAAAAACACTACTCTCCAAATTCAAAATTCAGTTTAAAGCTTCTAAAATTAATACAAATTTCTTCAAACCTAAGCCTAACAAAACCATTGTAGGAAATACATCAAAATCACGTTCTACAACACAATCTATAGAAACTAATAAAACAACATCAAATCTTATAACAAATCCTGACAATAATGTTATAATGTCTGATTCTAATACAAATCAAGAAATCATTAATACTAATCAATCTAATACAAATACCAACTCTATCTCAAATAAAAAATCTACTAATTTACTATCTACAACTTCCTATAATCCTTTTCAATAACTTCTTCTATAGAATCTCTGAATGACTTTACAAAAGAAAATCTTGTCAAATCATTACCAATATCTTTAGACTCCTATAATTTAAACATTTGTTACAACAAATACCTACTATACTACAATCTTCCTCTTTTAAAAGAACCTCAAACTATACAATCTTTCTATTCTCACCTTGACAATTATGCCTCACATCTAAAAAAAATGCCATGATTTTACTAACCAAAGATAAAAAAGAAGCACATATCTACCTATATCATAATACAAAACTTTTACCAAATCACATACTTCTTCTATCATAAGATACATACAATATACTACTTAAGTCATATACAAACTCTATACCAACTCCAATACCAACAAACAAAAAAACAAACAACAACTCTAATATACCTAATTCCACAATTGAACATACCTCTTTCAGTATTAAAATAGGTTCCTTAAATATTAACAGTTTATTACAATTAAACAAAAAACTAGCACTTACTGAAATGCTCAATGTTCAAGCTCTCGACATTCTAAGCCTCTCAGAAACACATCTCTCTACTCAAAAAACTAAATACTTTAAAACACAAAACTCCAACTACTCTAGCTTCTGGAGTTCTTTTCAAGAATCACATTAAGCTGAAGTGTGAATTCTTATTCACAAAAACATATCCAAATATATTGCATGCTCTCACAACTACAAAGGTCACATTATTGGCCTTGACCTACACTTCAAAAACACCCTTATTAGAATTCTTCAAATTTATATTCCAACTTAGGAAAAAAAATGATTGCGTAATGAAATCTTTGAACATGTAATATTACTAACTTAAACCTCCTTCTATAAAATTATAATTATGAGTAACTTTAATGGAGTTCCTAATCCCTGCATAGACAGATTTCCACCAAAAAAATCATCTATTCCAGAACACTAACTCATCAAATTCCTCTCTAGTTTTCAATTTAAAGACATCTACTGACTATTCTTTCCTAATAACACTAATTACACTTTTCAATGATCTAATGTACAAAGTAGAATTGATCAAATCTGAACTAATTTATCAATTACAAACATTGAATATACTGATATACTTCAAAACCATTTATTAGAATCTGATCATAATCTTATTACATTAAAAATTTTCATTATAATTAACAAACCAAAACCTCACAAACAATGGAAAAGAAAAATCTTCTTCTGGAAAAACTGCTCTAATACTTCTCTTGAAAACTATGCTATTCAAACAATACAAAATCTCCAATGACTGCTTGTTAAACTTCTTACAATCTCTAACCAAAACCAACTCAATAAAATCTAAAACTAAATTTACAAAGGCCTAATTAAACCTGCCTCTAAACACATTTCTTTTAAAAAAGTAAATACTATCAAAGGCATTAAAGAAACTAATCCTTCTAAACATCTTCAACTCTATTATCACTACAAAGAAATTCTTTTTCTCAAAAATTATACCAATTCACCTAATTTTAACAAATTACTCCAAAAATACTTGTCTAAATACTTTGATAATACAATTCTAAACCTATCGTCTACCCTTCTTCATCTCAAAAATGAACTTTATCTTACCAAAACTGTGCTCAATCTTCATCAAAATCAAATTATTTACAATGAAATTAAACAAAAAATTGAGGATCAAAACAAATTTTCTTTGAAATCCTTAAACTTTTCTATAAAAAGATTCCTGAAAAAAATAACAATATATACATTGACAGACTATTAACAAATAATTCACTCTTAACTGATCATAATGAAATACTTGATGCAATCCATATGCATTTTACTACTTACTTCAAATCCAAACCTTTGGAAACTATTTTACCAACTAGTAAATATTCAGACCTGTACAAACCATATCCTGAACTCAGAAGTTACTACTAAAATCTTACTCAAGAAATTACACAACATGAATGGCAAGAGATTATCTCTATCTTCCAAATCAAAAAGCTGCCGGCCCCTCTGAAATCTGCTATAAACATATTAAATATGCAAGCTCCAAAGCACAAAACCTTTTTATACAATTTTTAAACAAATGTTTTCAACTTCAAAAAGTTTCTACAGAATGGAAATCTTCCATTATTTTTCTTATTCCAAAAAAATCAAACTGGGACTATACTCTTACTCAAATATGATCTATATCTATTATCAAACCCTTTAAAAAAACTTTTACAAAAATCTTTACATCTAGACTAGATAAGATCATTACTTCCAATAACCTTCTTTCTAATCTTAACTTCACAGCCTCCAAAAATTTCTCTACTTATACTCCGATTCAAATTCTATATAATGCAATTGAACACCACAAAGCTAATAACAAAGAAGCTTGGATATTATTTTAAGATATATCTAAAGCCTTCAATAAAATTAATATTACAAGACTACAAGATGCCTGCAAACAAATTGGCATTTCAACTTCCAGTATAAACCTTATTACAGAATTACATACTTCTTGACTTGTAAGAATCATCACTAGTTACAGTCTAACACAACCAGTTCAAGTTAAATCTGGAATAGAAAAAGGAGAAACCTATTCACCCTTACTCTGGAAATTCTACTATAACCCTATTCTTTTTTTTATTTACCAAAAATACAAAAATCAATCTTTAAAATATCTGCACAATCACCTCTTGATATTATTTCTAATACTTCTGCTCAAACAATTACTATTCTTCTATTAACCTATATAGATGATACTACTTGGCATTGTGAAGATCTATCTATAATGCAAAATATACTTAATAACATATTTACTCTTTACAAATTTAACAATATCGAAATAAACCCTTCCAAATCAGATCTTCTACATATTAAACTAAATCATCTACCTCTTCTTCAACTATACTCACTGTTAATAATTAAACCATTTCTTCTAGAGAATCTCAAGACATTATCTGATATCTAGGCATATTTTATGATGAAAATGGCTCTACAAAACCAATTCTTGATACTATTTTCAACAAAATTGAAAACTTTCTTAACCTCATTAAATACAAAAAAATTACACTATCACAAATTTCAGCTCTTTTCAATCTTATTCTCCAACCCTCTCTGGAATATTTACTACAAATAACTCCAATTCACCAAAATACTCAAACCAAACTCTCTCGAATATTTACTATCCAATCCAAAAAAATGCTAGCACTAGCAAGAAATACAAATAATATCACTCTCACTAATCCACTATCCTTTAACCTACCAACTCTCAACAATATTTTACAAAAATTAAGTGCCTCTAATATTGAATGAATTTTTAACTCTACACCTCTACTTAATACCATTGGCACCTTATGAACTAAGGCCTGGCTTCTCAAAATTTGGCAGCCAAAGCTTACAACAGATATACTCAATACTCACTATCGCAAAACACAAAACTTCATACTAATTTTTCATATTTGCCAACTTGCAAAACACAATATCTCACTATCTAACTTTTTACTATTACCAAAAACTTTTACTAACTGCAAAACAATATATGATGTACTTCCTCCAAAATTATCCAACTTAACTATTTAAAGTCTAAGAAATAACAGAATTCTATTTTTTGAACAAATTACAACAGCAGATAATTTATACTTTCTTCCATGGAATAACATATATTTATAAACAAACAAACCTACACAAGGTCATCAACCAACTTGGTTCACACAAATCTTCTCTTCTAATCAAAATTACAATATCAACACAATCTGGCCTTATTTAAATCTTCTTCTCAAAAACTCTTTTATCAACTCAATAGATATTCTTCCCTTTTCCTCAACCCACCTCTTCTCTTACAAAATCTTCTATAATAACAATCAACAAATCTTTTTCTCACAACAAATTCATTTTCAACAAACCAATTTCTATAAACCTCTTTATTACTCATCTGGCTTTACTTTAATCACTTCTACTTCACCTCAAATAATCTCAAACTCTCAATCTATTAGTATTCCATACAACCAAATTAAAATCACTAAAAACTTACTATAAATTGACTTCAATGAAATTATTTCACTTACCCATATTAACAATCAAACTTCTTCCCAATCCTTACCTCTTTCTTATCCTTCAGTAAACTTAACTTCTTCTAAAATACAACTCATTCAACAAACTGTTAAATTAACTTCATATAAAAAACAATTAATCAAACTTTACTCTTTAATCAGAAATTCTAATTTAGATAACTTAATCTTCTATACTAATGGTTCTATTAAAGACTGTCAAACACCAAATATTAAATTAGGCATAGGCTGGATTTGCGAAACAAATACTAATATAAACTTTAATGCAAGCACAAAACTATATGCTAACACTAATCATACTGAACTTGAAGCAGTTCTTTCACTTCTTTTAGTTATATCATCAAACAGTACCATTACAATCCATCTCGACAACCAAACAGCAATTAAAAACTTGTAACACATTTCCTCTTTAAAACAATTACATATTAAAAATTGGGATATTATTTATTTTACTAATTATTTCAAAACTTTTAAGAACCTTAACATACAATTTTTAAAAATCAAATTATATACAAATTCATTTCATAACCAAGCAGACTCCCTAGCAAAACAAGAACTTCCAAACCCATTCTCAAACTATTACTGCCAAATACACAAACTTACTTTTTATAGAATAATCATCTTATACTATTCAAAATTCGTAACTTTATCAAAAATACTATTACAATTCAAGAACTTTCCTCTTGGTCTACACTTAAATACTTTCAAAATACCTCAGAACCTAACTGGGCTCTCAACTTTCAAATAATCAAATCCATGGAACATGACACTCAAAAATACTCCTTTCATATTTAAATCCTTACAA